CCCAGAGTCCGGGATCTCATCATATCTTTCCACCTCCCCTAAATGGAAATGATCCTTCTCTTACCTTTGTCCCCACCCAGGGCCCCAGCCTCCACTGCCCTGTCCTGCGTGCCTGTCCACGTTTAAACACAGGCCGATCAACCTTCAACCACCAAAACCCCCCTCTCTTCCTTAGAGCCAAAAGAATGAAGTGTTTTTGGATGTGGTCGAGAGACTGTCCGTACTGATAGCCTCTAATGTAAGTTTGGGCTCCCAGCCCTGCAGGTGGTATTGGGAAAACGTGTTGGGGAGGTCACCTCTGGGCATTAACCTCCCTGCCCCTCTCAGGGCTCGCTGCTGAAGGTGGATGTGCAGGGAGAGATCCGACTCAAGAGCTTTCTGCCCAGTGGCTCTGGTGAGCAGCCAGCAGGCTGGGCCCGGGGTGGGATTTGGGACAGGCTCCCGGGTGGCGTGGACGGTGGTATTTGGCAGCCTTTTCTTTTTTCTGATGTTCTTCCCCCTGACAGAGATGCGCATCGGCTTGACAGAAGAATTTTGCGTGGGGAAGTCAGAACTGAGAGGTGAGGAGGAAGGGGTCTTTCTCTCCTAGGTAGAGGTCGTGGCCAAAGGTCTCATGGAAAGAAGTTAGAGACAGAGCCCCAGCCCCTCCTAGCTCTTTTCTCCCAAAATATGGGTTAGGAGAGGAGTCTCTCTTTCCAGGTTATGGGCCAGGAATTCGGGTGGATGAAGTCTCATTTCACAGCTCGGTGCACCTGGATGAGTTTGAGTCTCACCGAATCCTCCGCTTGCAGCCACCTCAGGGCGAGGTGAGGATCAGGCTGGTCTAGCGTATTCGGTCTACTGAGGGGAAGGGAGGCAGTTCAGGTGTGAGGAGACCAAACTGACCTCTGTTCCTCTCTGGTCTCAGCTGACTGTGATGCGGTACCAACTCTCAGATGACCTCCCCTCCCCGCTCCCCTTCCGGCTCTTTCCCTCCGTGCAGTGGGACCGAGGCTCAGGCAGGTGAGGGAGGCCATTTCCCTGTTCTAGAACTTCTCTGGAGCCCAAACCCATTGTAGGTATATAATAATCCCAAGACTGAGTATGGAAGAGTGGGGGTGGTAGTGGTAACAGGCTCCGAGTTAGAAAAGGCGCCCTCCCCCACAAGTGGACGCAGCTCCGGGCACATAGTGGCTCATGGGATTGGGTGGATTTCAGCCCCTCTCCCTCCTTCATGGGGCACAACCAACACAGCCACATGTGGGGCCCTGGGTGTGGAGGTGAGACACCTGGGGGAGGGTGAGATGCCAGCAGCATAACATGAACGCTATTGTACCTTCTGACCCAGGCTCCAGGTTTATCTGAAGTTACGATGTGACCTGCCCCCAAAGAGGTACGAGGTGGGGTAGCCAAGCCTAGTGCAGCTATGTAGGATAGGAGACAAGGTCAAGATACCTGCTGTTCCCACCTTCAGATGTGGTCCCCAGCCTCAGCATCCAGTTGAGTTAGAGGCTCTAGGGTTGGGGAAGGGGGTGGAGTGGCACTGCACTGGTGTGGAACTCCAGCTGTGATATTAACGAAGGCAGGATGAGTCACTGCCTTCCTGGGGCCGACTTTGTCCCTTTCTTCCATGCAGCCAGGCTCTCAACGTCAGGCTGCACCTTCCCCTGCCACGAGGGGTGGTCAGGTGAGTGTGTGTGCACCATGGGCCCCCCACCCCGGTGGTTTTACCAGCTTCCCTGGACAACAGGATGGCACTGGTGGGGAGAGTGTGAGCCGTGGGGTGGCAGCGGCTTGTCTCCAGGGGCCGGCAGGGGCTGATCCCAGCACCTTTCCTCTCCCCACTGCAGCCTGTCTCAGGAGCTGAGCAGCCCCGAGCAGAAGGCAGAGCTGGGGGAGGGAGCCCTTCGCTGGGACCTGCCACGGGTACAAGGGGGCTCTCAGCTCTCAGGCCTGTTCCAGGTATCAACCGCTGCTTCTTGAAGGCCCTCTCCTCCCACCTCCATTTTCACCCTCACCCGTGCTTCCATGTGCAGTGGGTCAGCGTGGTCAGCTGCCTGGGCCCTTGGCTCCCCTGCCCTCCTCCCTGTCTGTCTTCAGCACCTCCCCCCTCCTCTGCCCTCCCAGATGGACGTCCCGGGCCTCCCTGGGCCTCCCGGACAAGGGTCCTCCACCTCGGCTCCTCCTCTGGGGTTGGGCCCTGCCAGCCTCTCCTTTGAACTTCCCCGGCACACATGCTCCGGCCTCCAGGTCCGCTTCCTCAGGCTGGCGTTCAGACCCTGCGGCAACGCCAACCCGCACAAGTGGGTGCGACACCTGAGCCACAGCGATGCCTATGTCATCCGGATCTGAGGCTCCCAAAGGAGGACACGACGCAGTGGCAGAGCCAGTGGTCTGTGCATCAGGGGGACAGAATTTTTTTCTCCAGACTTCCGGCCCGTGGCTGCGGATCTGGCTTGAAGAGTCCAGAGTCCTAGAGACCAGGAGGGCTTGATGGGGTTGACCCTCCTGTGGTATCAGACCCGGGAAGGACTGAGATGGATCACAACTTAAAAATCAAACTTTTATTCTGAGGAACGGCTGTAAAATGTCTAAAGAGAAAGCAGCATGGGGGAAGCTGACTACTACTTCCTTCCACCCAGAATGCCCGCGTATGTGAATCCAGGGGAGAGGCCAGCAGGCAGCAACAGCATCAAGGCGCAGGCTGAGGGGAGCCAGATCCGGGGGGCTGGGAGCCATTAGCCTTTGGAGTCCCTGGAACAGGAGGGGGGCTCTCCCCAGCTTCCGGTTTCCCCCCACACAGGGCGCTGGCCCCCAGCGGGGAGGGGGCTGAGGACTGGGGAGGGGCTGGAGAAGGATGGGAGGCGGGGCCTCCTTTGCCCTCCCCTGTCGGGGGAAGAGAGACCACGATGTACTTCTGGACACTGCCGGGGCCAGAGGGCGCAGTGCTGGGGGGTGCGGTTGTGGCAGTGGAGACCAGCTTGACGATGGGCTGCACACTGGGGACAGTGGTGGTGACAGGAGAGGTGGTGGTGGAGCCTGAGCCAGGGGCCGAGGTGCTGAGGGACAGGACCTGGGTGATGGGGGGGGAGGAAGGCAGTATCACTTGCCTGGCGCCCTCCCCACACCCCAGGCCCGGCGGAATACTTCACTTGCTCCAACTGAATAACTGGTACTTGACTAGCGCCGTGGTGACCGCTCCCCACCATCCCTGGTCCTGCACGTACCTGCTGGGTGGACGAGGCGCTGGAAGATGACATCACGATAAACTTGGTTGGAGGAGGAGAAGGCTGAGGTGGGGCAGCAGCTCTGGCAGACACCAGTGTCTGCACAGGCAGTGCGATGGAGCCAGGGACCTTCAGCAAGCCAGGGGTGCGAGGGCCAGGCTGGGGGGCCTGTGAGAGGGTCAGCGTGGGCCGCGGCTGTGGGAAGAAGAGGCAGGAAGATATCACCATCTATGAAAAAAAGTCACCAACTACAAAAAGAAGGGGTCCTCTTGCTCCCCCTCGGGGGTCTCACTGGGGTTGGGCATCACCACTAACGGGGCCTAGACTCCTCCAGATGCTGACTGGGGTGGGCACTGTGTTTCACAGAAGTGCATGTGCAGTCCTGGGTGCGTGCGCGTGTGTGAGTCCTCTGCCGTGGACACCACCCCCAAGGTTCTCCCCGTTTCACCTCACCCTTCCTCCCCGCCCCCTGTGCTGACCTGAGTGATGGTCAGAGTGGTCCTGTTGACCTGCTGAGCCTGCAGCGCAGCCTGGGCCCGGGCCTTGACCACATGTGAGCAGAGGAGGGGCCCAAGGGACCCAAATTCTGCCCGATAGGCATCCTGATTGTCAGGTGGTGGGCGCAGCTTTGCTAGAACGGGGGCGCAGTGTTTCTGTAGAGAGAAGGCAAAGAACAGCCAGGTAGAGGGAGGGCTGGGACCCTCCGAATCGGAATGGGGACGGGGTGAACAAGGTCATCTGGTTCTTCAGCATGTTTCTGTGGGAGGCCAGGCAGTGCTGGGTTATCTGTGTGCAGAGAATGCTGTGATTTTTCCTCAGAACAGCTGGTGTGAGTGGAGAACTGCTGAGTACACTGGTTCTATCTAAGGGCCAGTTGGTCCACAGGGCGTTTGCCTTGCCCAGAATGGGCCAGAGTGATGGAGGAGCACAGCTGAGTGGTCACAGGCTGAGAGTTAAGACCTTTTATTTTTTACTTAATCCTTTGGTGCCTCAGTCTTTCCACCTGCAAGACAATACTGGACTCTCAGGTGTGCTCTGAATATAAAGCAAAGATAGAATCAGTGAATAAAAGACACTATATGCTTGCTAAACACTGTCCCTATGTGTGTGGTGGTGGAGGAGGGAGAGTTGGGGGTGGGGCTCTGTCACCAGAAGGAGGCTCTGCACGTGGTCAGCCCCTATGCGGTCGATGTTGCTCAGCACAGGGCCATCCAGGACCCCGCGGATCCGCTCCCCCTCCTGCTGCAGCCGTGGCAGAATCAGAGTCTTAATCACCTGTTGGAAAGGAAGGGGAGAAGCCAAGGCCCTGGGGTCACCACAGGGTCTCCCGGGTTGGGGGCTGCTGCCCACTCTGACCTCACGATCCCTCCCCTCCACCCAAGCTCCCCGCCAGGGGCCTAACATCATGTCCCAGCTCTGCCAGGCCTGCGATGGAGCCGTAGCGCGTCGTCCATGGGGTCTTCTCGTCCACCCAGCTCTGTAAAGGGCGGAAAATAAAGCAGATGAAGTGTGAGAAGCTAACTGTAAGGACCCGAGTCTCTCATAAACACGCTTTCTTCTTGTAAATCGTTAAGAGCCGACAGATGGGGCTCAAGTCCTGCCCCCAGCCCCCTGCCCCCGGTTTTCAGTGCCACGTCCTGTAGCCACACTGGTTTGGTGAAGCCCTCACTGTTCTGGTGACCCCTGAGCAGTCATGTGAAAGCTTACATGCCCATCGCCCTGGCTCACCTTGGTGAAGGTCTTGGTGATCCGGGACTGGATGTTGTTAGTGGTTGTGCTGAAATGCTTGCAGATCTGGGCCACCAGGCGGGCAGCAAAGTCCCGGAGCGCCCAGTGATTGTCCACATCTGGCCGCAGGCACAGCTGTCTGCTCACGATGCAGGTCATCACAGCTGGGATCAACTCGTGCACCTGAGGGAGGAGCAGTGAGTCCGCCAGTTCTGACTAGTGGTCTCCTGGGGGTGGCGGCAGGGTCCCCAAAGCCTGGGGTGAGAGGTGGGCAGGCTGGTCCACTCACGTATTTTTCTAGATACAGAGTAGGGTTATCCATCAGCGCCTTCACCATGCGCATCAGGTAGATGAGCAGAGCCAGGTTGTTCTGCACCACGTTCACACGCACCTGGGGTGGAGGAGAGAGAAGTGACCGGGCCGCGGGGCCCCAGGTGAGCTTCCTCGCGGCCTCCTCACTCCCCCAGCCTCATCCTGTGTCCTGCCCCCGAGCCCTCTCACCCCCTCGGAGATGAAGGTGCTGAAGCGGGGCAGCATCTGGTAGAGCCCTGGGTCCGTGGCAATGCTCTGCAGAGCCTCCTGGGAGGGGAAGGGAGCGAGTGAAGGGGGGCCGCTGCCGTGGGGAGGACTTCCCGGGGCCTCCAGGACAGGACGTGGGGCCTCACCGCTCGCTTGGCCTCACAGGACCCCACACAGGCTTCGGTGATCTCCTTGTAGTACAGCTGCTGCTCCACAGACAACTCGTGGATGCTTCGGGGCTTCAGTCGCAGAGGAGCCCCCTCCAGCAGGGGTGGCGCCTTCTTCTCTTTCCCTGTGTGAATTTGGGAAAGAAAGCTCCAGAGGAGGCCTCAGCACTGGACAAACCTCGACCCGACCCTCCCCCACCCAGGGAGACCCGGCTTCCCCTAGGCCTCTTGACCCTTTCTGTGGCTCCCAGCCTGAGGTCTCGCTCCTTGCCCTGACCTCACCCTCTTCACAAATGAACATCTGGCTTTGGGGCAAGAGCAGGAGAGACCTGGCCTAGCAGCGCTGACCTTTGCCGTCGGTTGGAGCGGCCCCCTGACCTTTGCCTTTCAAGGGGCCATCTTCCTCCTGGCCCGGCTTGGCTGACTTCAGGGGTTCTGTGGCCTCAGCCTTCTGCTGCTCTTTGGGAGCTGGTGGAAAGCAGTCAGGGCAGGAGATGGAGGAGGAGGGAGAGAGAAGTGGAGGGGCGGGCGCTGGGCGCGGAGGTTACCTGGGGGTGGGTTCTCTGGTATAGCTGGCTGGCAGCCTTCAATACTCAACCAATGGGCTGTGAGGAAGGAAGGTGTCAAGGTGAACACGGACTCGGATGTCAGGAAGTCCATGGACCCCACTCTGAGGGCTCCTTCGCTTGTGTGCTACCTCAAACCCCGACTCTGCCACACTGTCCTCCCCTCCCCTCCGCCAACCTTTGAGGCAGACGTCCAGGGGCACCCGGGGCAGAGGGGTATTGATGATGTCGCTCAGATCAACCTCCTTCTCCTCGTAGAAGTAAAGCTCCCGGCCGCCACCCGAGGCGAAACGGAAGGGAATGAACTCTTGAGCGTGGAAGCCATACAGTGGCTACAACAGGAGATAGAAGGAGAGACACTCTGGGATGAGAAGGGAGCTGGAGCAGGTGTGGCGAGGCTGATGCTGTGCCTGGGAAGCCCCCACCCGCCCCTCTCAGTCCTGTGCATCCCTGTCACCTCAACGTTCTTCAACTTCAGCGCATAGTCAATGTCACTGGTGGTGAGCTTCTGCCGCTTCCCCATGTGCATGAACTTCAAGGCGTCCTGGGGGTGGGAGGACAGACGTCAGCCTGAGACCCGGGGGAAGAAGGCAGCCTGGGCGGCAGCATTGATACCAGGCAGCGGGGCTAGGGTACCTGTGCAATCTCCTTGATGCGGTAGCTGACCTCGTCTGTCAGCAGCTGGCAGGTCTCCTCCTGAATCTGAGCGATGCCCATGGACTCAGCCACCACCTTCATGGACTCCGAGGGCAGCACAGTGTTGCTCAGCTTCAGCTTCTTCTCCTCAGCCATTCTGGAACCCCTCCTCCCCTCCCCCGAGGGACGGTGCCCAGGGCAGAGAGATGGAGACCCTGGCAGGGGGATGAGATGAAATGTGAGAGTGAGACCCAAAGAAGAGGGGCTTTGGGTTAAGGAGGCCATGACAAAGGGAGGACAATGGAGATGGGGGGGAAGGGACTCGGCGGTGTCCTCTGTCCATCCCATGAGTCAGCACCAGCCATACCGGGAGGAGGCAGCACTCCCATCCAATTCGACACTGATTCTATGCCAGGCACCGTACAGGTCACGTAGAGTAGAATGATCTCAGCTCTCCGTTTAAATCCCAGCCCCAGCACGACCTAGCTGTTACCTGGGCAAGCCACTTAAACTCTCCCAGCTTTGGGTTTCTTCTCTAAAAGGTGAAAATGTTTTTTTTCCTTAAGGTTAATGTGCCTACCTTCATCTCTCTTGCCTCTTCTTGCCTCATTATTCATGCTTGACAAAAATGCAATGTTGGTTAAACACAACTCCCTGAGTGTATGCGCCCGTTCAGTTGAACATGATGAGGAAACACACAACCATCATGACCAATTCCCACTTTAAATTCATGGCCTCGAACTTCAGAGGAGCCCTTAATGCTGCCTGATAGTCATACACCTCAGTGCACTCAGGTTCCCTCTGTCCTATCTGACACTTCTCCTCCTTCATTTTTGGCACCTGAGGAGACCTCCCCAGGCTGCCACCACCACGCCTACCTGCTGAGCAACAAAGGGGCCCAGGTACCCTGCCTTCCCACCTGTTCCTGGAGAGATTCTGGTCACGCCCCTCACCAACTCAAGCATTGCTCCAGCATGTCTCCCATCTCCCTGTATCACCATCAATTCCCCCACCTACCAGATCATTCCTGTCAGCCTACAAAATGCAGTAACTTTGCCCATCTTAAAAACACAAAGTAGAGGTCCATCCATACAATGCAATACCATTCAGCTTTAAGAAGGAAGGAAATGCTGATCCACACTACAACACCAATAAACCTGGAGAACACTCTGCTAAGTGAAATAAGCCAGTCACCAAAGAATAAACACTCTATGATTCTAATCATATGAGATGCTTAGAGGAGTCAAATTCATAGAGACAGAAAGTAGAATGGTGGTTGCCAGAAGCTGGGGAGGGGAGAAAAGGGAGTTATGGTTTAATGGGTACAGAGTTTCTGTTTAACAAGAAGAAAAGAGTTCTGGGGATGGAGGGTGGTGATGGGTGCACAACAATGTGAATGTGCTTATGCTACTAAACTGTACACTTCAAAATGGTTAAGATGGTTCATTTTTATGTGCATTTTGCCACAATTAAAAATTTTTAAAAAATCTTCACTTTGACTTTCTCTATGATACCCTTTTTGGCTCCTCCTCACAATAAAACTCCCTGAAAGAGTTGTCTTAACTCTGTTTCTAATCCCTCTCCTCTCCTCTTCCCTTAAACCTACTCCAATCAGGCTTTTGATTCCACTAGGTCCCTAAAACCACTCATCAAGGTCACTATGATTGCACATTGTCAAATCCAAAGTCCCCTCTCCCTCCAGATTGTCTTTGACCTCTCAGCAGCACATAGCAGAGTTGCCTACTCACTTCTGGAAAACAGTCTTTACACCAGTATCACCCCATCTTCTCTTGATTTTCCTCCTACCTCACTGGCCACTCCCTCTGTTTCCTTTACTGATTCTTTCTCTTCTGCTTAATGTTGGAGTGTCCTGGGCTTTGTCCTTGTATAGCTGAGCTCTACTTAGTCCCGTGGTGACCTCCACCCCTCGTACAGCCTTCAGTATCACTTCTAGGCTGCTGACGGCAAATTTATAGCCCCAGCCCAGAGCTTTCTTTCTAACTCCAGATTTGTAGATCAGACTGTCTCCTGTTTTAAAACTGAACTCCTGCTCTCCCCCTCCCCACTCGCTTCAGCCTTGGCTTTCCTCATCTTCACAGCAACACCATTCATCCACGTACTTGTTCTTTGTGTGAGCCTCACATCCAATCCACCAAGTGATCCACCTGGTCCCCCAACTCCCACTGCCTGGCCAGCTCACCATCATCTAATCCCTGGGGAACTTGAATAGCCTCCTGGCAAGGTCTTCGCTTCCACTCTTGCTCCCTAAGTCTAGTTCCACCATAGCAGCCAGAGTGATTCTGTCAAAATATAAATCAGATCGGGTCACTGCTCTGCTCAAAACCCTGTACTGGCTCTCATCGTGAGACAGAGTAAAATCCAAAATCCTAATCATGGTCGACAAGGTCCTCCGTGATCTGCTCTCTCCCCATCACTTCTCTGAACTCCCGTCCTTCCTTCCTTCCAGTTTAATCCAGACCCACTGTCCTCTTCACTGTTCAAATCTGCCAGGTACGCTCTTGCTTTATGGCCTTTGCTCTCTGTTCCTTCTGCCTGGAATGCTCTTCCCCAGATGTCCCCTGGCTGCCTAGTCCCATCACCCTACTTAATACTTCACCTTCACCCCTACGCTGCTTTTTAAAATTCCCATGGAGTTGAACGTCTGCTAATGCATATTATTTCTTCCTGTTTATCACCACCACATCTCTCCTTTCCGCATTGTGTGGACAGAGATCTTTATGTTCACTGATGTATTCTGAGACCCCAGACTGGTGCCTGAGACATATCAGACACTCAATAAACATCTGTTGAATAAACCAATGAATTGTAAGGCTTAGAGATGCAGGTGCTCAAAAACTACACGGTACCACTATTATCAAATGAACAATGTACATGCCCAAGCTTGGAATCTACTTGGTGGCCAAAAGGAAAATGGCTCGCTTGAACCTGGCAATAGGAAAACTAATGTCAAAAGTGTTTTGGAGTGACTGCGGGGTGTAGGTGGGGGAGAGGGTGTGGGCCAGCTGGAGCGACGGGAAGATGGGGGCGAAAGAGAATATAGTTCTCAAACCATTCCAGGTCTCCTTCACCACTTTTATAAGTCCTATCTGCAAGGAACACATTTATTTAACACATACTCTGTGTCTGGAGCCGGGTATATACAAGAGGCTGTCGTGTCCCACTTCCTTGGCGAACTCCTACTAATCTTTCAATACCTCGCGGTACCCTCTGCCAGTAAAGGCTCATAAAACACGCTGCGGCCTCAGGAAACCTGAGGTCAGTGGAGTTCGGCAGGAAGGCTTAGTAGAGAGTTAGATACGCATAGCGGTTTTCTCAGCAGAGAAGCGGGCCAAGGTCCCCAGGCAACGGGTACAGCGCGAAAGGCGGCGTAGAGAGCCCACCTCATCCTCGCAACATCCTTCCAAAGCAAACACACATAGAGGTCCCCAGGCGCATGGACACACAACCAACCGTCCGCCTCCAGGTCCCCACACAGGCCCTTCAAAGGGTCTAGTCCCGGGTACCACTCGGACCCGCCCCCGCCAGCCGAGCACCCCGCGCAGGAAAAGCCTCTCACCGCTGCCGAAGCGCCGCTCACCCGGCGCTCGGCGCCATCTTGGCCCCGCCCCCTCCGGGAGTAGGTCCTGGCAGAGCCAGAGAGCAGGTCACTACCCCTTCCTGGAGAAGGAATAAGCCCGCCACGCTCACGGCCTGAAATGATAATAAAAGTGCTGTCTCTGTGCCTACTTGCAAGGAGCAAAACTTCTTCCTGTAATTACTTCAGTTTATTCCTTCACTACCCGGCGGCCAGGACCTCCGGAGGCGCCACAAAACCCAGGCGGGGCAGCCTGGAGCGCAGCGAGGCCCCGCCCTCTTTCGGGCCGGCACTGCGCTTGCGCCTCTCTTGCCAGGCTGGATTAAAGTTGCAGCACACCGTTTTGGTATTTAAAGGGCCCGTTGCCTTCCCGAAGTTGGTCTGAGGGCAAGATTGGCGGTGGACGGTTCTTGGTTATGGGACCTGTGCGGTTGGGAATGCTGCTTTTCATTTTGACTATGTACAGTGCCTGGGCTGGGATGCCGAAGGAGGAAGACGATGACACAGAACGCTTGCCCAGCAAATGCGAAGGTATCTAAAAGTAGTAGCCCGTATTCGCATCCCTCTGCCCCACCTCCTTCGTCTGGGCCAGACCAAATGGACCGTGATGGGTGGGTCACTCGACTTCCTCGAGGACCTGAGGGAGGTTCTGGTGGAGCCTGGTGGAATTCGAATGGGGTCAAGGGAAGGAACGCATACTGCTACCCCAAAACTATCGCACTACAATTCCCATGAGACATCCAGAGGGAGCCCGCTTATTCTTGCCGGTTTGGGCCCCAATGGTTTATGGGAATTGTAGTTCAGAGACTACTGGCCAGGACCGTCCACTCTACTGAGCATCTTCAGACGTGTGTGTGTGTGTTTCCTCCATGCCACCAGACCTAAAGCTTGGGAGGCTGCAAGAGCGGAGTGTGACATTCATTACCTTCTGGACAATCTCTGCTCCACCCTGGCAGAGACGCTTCCAAATTATAGGCCCCACGCCCTCCTGAGGTGGTTTGGGAGTGAGTGAATCAGCCCTTGAAGCTCATAAAAGAAAGAGAAGGCCACACAACTGGGAGAAGTTCCCCATTGTGAAGCTTTGCAGAGGGTGTGCACTGTATGGATTTTACAATGAGGAACATCTGTGGCTGCATCACCTGTGGGGCCCAACTTGGGGAGGACACTTCAGAGCTGGGCCACTGAGTGCCCTGGTTGCCTAGTTTGTTGCCTTCTTGGCTTTAATTTCTTCCTGGATTCTTTTCCCCTTTACTTCACTCCACACTGCATTTCAGTATCAGTGTTCCTCATGACTTGGTCCTAATTTCTCCTCTCCTTTCATTTGTGTCCCCATTCTTACCAGCCTATGCCAGTCACTTTTTCTAAATACAAACTCGATTGTGTCGGTGCTTGCTTTAACACCTCTGAAGGCCTCCTGCTGTGATTAGAATACAGCCAAGGGGTTTTGGCATAGCATCCAAATATCTTTGTTGTATGGCCTCCACACCCCACATCCCATCCCTAAAGTACCCATGTTCAGCCACACTGAACTTCTCAGCGGTCAGTAAGCCGGCCTCGTCCTCTTGCATCTCTGTGCCTTTGCCTGTTGTTTTTTCCTTTGCTGAGAATGAGCCTCTCCCTTCTGAATGTGGTTCTTCAAGACCCAGTTTAAATGTCACCTCCTTTGGAAGCCTCCTTCCTTATCTGTCACCTCCCACTGCATGGGAGGGATGGAGAGTACCTGTGTTCTCCCAGGTCCTAGCATAGCCCCTGGAACATTTTAAGGCACTTTTGTTACTTGCCCCTGTGTTTAGTTGGCTTGGCGCTTCTGTATTAGGCCACTCCCTTTCTTGGGACTTGCTACATGCCAGATCTTGTGCTAAATGCTGGAAAGACAGTGGTGGAAGAGATGCAGTGCTCATCCTTAAGGAAACTGGGGGCCAGTAGGAGGAAAATGAATGACAATTGAATGAATTTTGCATTTCCTAGTGGGATTGTCTCTTGGTCTAACCCCCAGTGTAGGGTCCATTATGCAATATTGTCATCATCTTTCTATCTGTCCCCAACGACACTGGCAGCATCCTGTGGATAGGGATCTCGGGTCTTACTGATCTCTGTGTTACTATTGTGCATCCAGAAGGAACTCAATAAATAACTGCAGAAAACAGCAAACGCTTATGTAGTACTCACTACATGCCAGGCACTATTCTAGGGGCTTTACATAGACTTTTTTAATCCTTACCACACCCCTAGGAGGGAGGTACTATTATTATCTTCATTTGAGAGGTGAAGAAACCAAGGCACAGCAGGGTTGTCACACAACCACTCAGTGGCTGAGTCAGGATTCCAACCTAGTCAGGCTGTCTCCAGAGTCTGCACCTGTAACCATCATGCTCTGCTGCCTTTGCTCATCTGCAGAATGAGTTGCTGGTATGTTTGTTTGTCTTTCACGTCCCCTTGGACATCTAGTATGTAAACTGCTGAGCCTGGAGCTACAGGAAGAGCTGAGTCGCACTGGCCAATCTCGAGAGGTGCTGGAGCTGGGACAGGTGCTGGACACAGGCAAAAGGAAGAGACATATCCCTTACAGCGTTTCGTGAGTCCTTCTTGGTGCTCCTCGACCCTCCGATCCCTGAAGGAGCCCTAGAAGTGCCAAGAGCATCCAGGGAGCCTTTGTTTACCCTTTTCCCGCAGAGAGACAAGGCTGGAAGAAGCTTTGGAGAATTTATGTGAGCGGATCCTGGATTACAGTGTTCATGCTGAGCGCAAGGGCTCACTGAGATATGCCAAGGTCAGACTCTTCCCCCAGGCAGGATCCCACTTCTCAGAAATGATGACCTGTATTCCCTGGGGTCCTTGAGATATCTACCCATCTCCCCCTGGTTCTGGAGTGTCCCCTCCCCATCGCAGACTCCTTCATCTCATCCTCAAGGAACTTACCAGGGTCTCCAGTTGTTGACAAGGCTGATATACAAAAATGGGGAGGAGGTGGGGCAGTGACCTGGGTTGATCTCCAATTCCCATCTCTCAGGGTGAGAGTCAGACCATGGCAGTGCTGAAAGGCCTGGTGGAGAAGGGAGTGAAGGTGGATCTGGGGATCCCTTTGGAGCTGTGGGACGAGCCCAGCGTGGAGGTCACATTCCTCAAGAAGCAGGTAGGATAGGATACTGCACACTGCCCAGGGAGGTGAAAGGGAACCTGAGAGGGAAGCTAGATCCTCGGGAGGTCCATCTTTGAGCAGTGAGGGCTCTGCCATCAATTGAATTGAGCCCAGGAGCATATCAAGGAGTAATAATTAATATTTTACCCTCTCAACAACCTGTTGTAGCAAGTACTATTACTATTTCCTATTTTACAGACAAGGAACTGAGACTCAGAGTTTAATAATCTACTTGGCAGAGTAGGTGCTAGTAAATGTTGAGTAACTGAGGATCACACATCTAATAAGCCAAGTTTAACCTCCTGGCCACCTGCCTCTCCAAAGTGGGGTGGGGAGACAGGGAGTGAAGAACAGAGAAGAGGGATTACAAAGGCCAGCAGAGCAGATACTCTTCTGACTCTTCCACCAGTGTGAGATGATGCTGGAGGAGTCTGAAGACATCGTGGAAGACTGGTATTTCCACCATCAGGAGCAGCCCCTACAGCATTTTCTCTGTGAAGGTCATGTGCTCCCAGCTACTGAAACTGGTAAGTGTGTGGGCTGGTCCCTTTCTTGCCAGGCCACAACCCCCACCCCACCCCCATATCTAAGCTGTGTTCTATCGCCCAACCTAGCATGTCTTCAGGAAACTTGGACTGGAAAGGAGATCACAGATGGGCAAGAGAAGACAGAAGGGGAGGAAGACCAAAATCAGGAAGAAGTAGAGGAGGAGGAGATGACTAACACACCAGGGCATCCCAAGCATGACCCAGAGGATCTTTGACCCTTGTCCTTAAGCCCCAAGGATGGACAGGGGTCATGCAGAAGAACCCTTTGAAGTCTGAGCTCTCCCTGCCCCTCAGCTTTAAGAGTGTGCGTATGTGAGTGACTCCATGCTAGAGCTTGTAGCTCTTCTCTCCCATCTGCTCTCAGGCAGGATCCTGGTGGTGCAGCATGGCATGGCTATGGGGAGAACGGTGAGAGCAGTAGGTGGAATCCCTGCCCCAACAGATGAGTCGTCCACCTGCCGTCTAGCTCCCTGATTGTCAGCTGTGTGTGGGGACGGTATTGAGACATTTAAATATCTCTTCTGCTCCCCACAGGACCCAGAGGTCAGCATAGCACAGGAACTGTGGACCTTGAGAAAGTAACTTTAACCTTCGGGGGTCTGTTTTTATACTCTTATAAGGAAGAAGCGGGAATGGACATTCTCTACGACCTATATACACCACCTGCATCTAGGAGACTGCATTCCAACAAACTGTGAACAGGAAGGGGACACTGGATGGGGCGATGTTGATTAGTTAGGTTGGGTAGATACTTAATCTACTTCATACTAATTTCACCGACGGCCCACCAAGTAATCGCAAAGGTGCCAAATTTTCTATAACGCTAGTAAATCTTTTTACTTTAATATCAGCTGGGCCCCAAATTTCAAACCACTGCCGTGCACACGTTCTCACTGGCCGAGACGCTGGCACCGAGGGAATAGGATCATTGGCTGCCGTCCTGTTTAGAAGCTAATGCTGCTTTGTAATTTTGCAGCCCGAGGAGGCTGCCTGGGACCAGCGGGCTGAGGACCGTTTTCAGGCCTGGGTCTGTGCAGCTCTTGTCTGCGCATGCCTGGAAACGCGTCGGAATTACGTTCGGTGCGTGACGCCTGCTGGGCCGCCATACTTGGATTACGGTAGCTCGCAGAGGACAAACTCACTCTCTTTTCTCGTGTCTCTTCTTCACTCAGAGCGAGCAAGACCTAAGAGAGGCGATAAAACTAGGTCCAAGGTAGAGAGCAGCCCCGGGTTAGAGTGAGGGAAATAATAAGGGTCTCCCCGGAGGGTGGTGGGTGAGGCTCTGGCACGCTAGCCGGGCCGGGGCCGAAGACGCTAAGTGATGGGCGGGTTCTCACTGAAGTGAAGGTTGGGCGATACCATTTTCCGAAGGGGGTTGAAGGCGATGCCGACTTAGGGGTGCGAGGGCGGGTGGCAGGACTGAAACTTGGAAGGTACCACCTGACGAAGGCCGGACGAGTGTGGGAACCCGAAGGGAGCAGACACTCGCCCTCAGCCCCACTTCCTTTCCCCAGCTTGTCCCTCTCCGGCTATGAGCGGTCTGGTGCGCACCGAGCCGCTGCGCGGGGAGTCCCCACTGCTGGTGCCCGGCGACCCCTACTCTGTGGTGGTTCTGCTGCAGGGCTACGCCGAGCCGGAGGGGGTCGGCGATGCTGTGCGCGCAGACGGCTCAGTGACCCTTGTCCTGCCCCAGGCCTGGGGCTCGGCCTCCAGCCACCGGGAGCCCCCGCCCGAGGGCTGTGAGGCGAAGACCGCCCTGGAGGAGGCGGCCCGTGGCCCCATTCTCGTGGACACCGCGGGCCCCTGGGCACGGGAGGCGCTCCTGGGGGCCCTGGCGGGGCAGGGCGTGGCTCCAGGAGACGTGACTCTGGTGGTGGGGACCCACGGACACTCGGACCATATCGGGAACCTGGGGCTGTTTCCCGGGGCGGCTCTGCTGGTCTCGCACGACTTCTGCCTCCCCGGGGGCCGCTACCTCCCCCACGGCCTGCGTGAAGAGCATCCCCTGCGGTTGGGGCCGGGGCTCGAGGTGTGGGCCACGCCGGGCCATGGTGGTCAGCGGGACGTGAGCGTGGTGGTGGCTGGCACCGCCCTAGGTACCGTAATGATAGTGGGCGATGTGTTTGAACGTGATGGGGACGAGGACTCGTGGCAGGCGCTGAGCGAAGACCCGGTGACCCAGGAGTATAGCCGGAAGAGGGTCCTAGGCTCTGCCGACGTGATCGTTCCTGGTCACGGGGCCCCCTTTAGGGTGATCAGAGAAGCCTCGCAGCCAGAGACAAAGGGTCTGGGGAACAGCCGGCCTGAACTCCTGGTCGGCGACGAGGAGCCCCTAGTGCACCAATAAACCTTGGTCTTCCCTGGATTCCTGTCCGGGAACCCCCTCCCCCTGCCCCAACCCCAGCCAAGGAACGGACATTCGGGACACGGAGAGGACGTGTCAGAGAGGATTCAGGGTTGGTCACTTACAGCCCTTCCAGGAAGCCAGTTTTCCAGGGGGGACAGTGCTTTTGCCACTGTAGTCACCAATATCACTGTTTCTACGACCAAACTGGGACCAAGGACTGGCTCAGCTGTGTGCCATCTCTTGGCGCTTCATTAGTAAAACAGGAGAATGTTCTTGGGGGAGTCTTCCAAAATAAAAAAGTAGGAAACTGCATTGAAAACCGTACTGCTCTAATGGAAATGTGAAACATTTGTGATGCTAATCATTGCTAATATAATCCAGCAACTGCGACAGGGGGACACTTTGGCTGATAGATCACCTGTTTCTCAGGGTGCAGGTTGCTGAAAGAAGGTGCAGAGCAGAGAGGTAACATCTCAGTCATCTGACTTTTATTCATTCGTTCATTCAGTGAATACTTAATAGACCTGCAATGTCTCAAGCACAACTCTAGGTCAAGGGAATACAGCAGTGAGTAGCTAGACAAACCCCCTGTCCCCTTTGGAGATTATATTCTGTTGAACAACAATAATAATAGTAAACCAAATAATTTCAGGTTCTGGCTAGTGATATGAAAAAGAAACAGGGTGAGAAGGGGATAGAGTGCTGGTGGGGGGAGTGGTCAGGAAAAGCCTCTGAGAAGGTGATTTTGATCAGAGAACTGAATGAGAATGAATGAGAAAAAGCCAGCCATACGAGGATGAGGATTCCAAGGATGGGAACAGCAGGTATAAAGGCCCTGAGGCAGGACTGCTTGACCTGCTTGAGCAGCAGGAAGACCGTGGGGTTGGAGTGTTGAGCACTGGGCAAGACTGGCAATAAACAAGGTTTCAGAGTTAGGCAGCAGCATCATGCAGGGCCCCACGGACCATGGTGAGGGGTTTGGATTTGTACTCAGAAGGCTTTGGCTTTATACCAGCACAGAAGACTGGGCTGATGACCTGGTCTCATCTATGTTTTAAAGTAATCAGTCTTGTTCTGAGTCGAGAAGGGGAGCAACAATAGACTGGGCTGGGCTAGATAGGAAGCCGTTGCAGTTTTCCAGGTGAGAGAAATTGCTGGTCTCAGAAGTCCTGCTAGGGCTGTGTCCCAGTGCCCAAGCCCTCCCTCCACACAGCCCTAGGACCAGCAGAAAAGCTAAGGAGGGGCAGAAGCAGGAAAGGAGAAAGTCCACCTTGTGGACGATGCCTCCCTGAGTAGATGCTTTTGGGCAGGGCCAAACTAAAGGTCATTTTGTGGGCCTCCACAAAGGCCACATGGAGATCAGCAAAGGCAGCTCAGAGGAGCGGGTTTAGCTGGCAGATGAACCAGTAGGTGCTGTACACGGTAGCCAGTGTTGGCCAGTTTGATGACCACAAGAGTGTGCAGCTCCCAGGCCAGCAGTGCAGCCATGGTGGCCCGGCTCCCAGCTAGTCGTTGCACAAAGATGGACGGAGGGAAGGTGGTGAAGTGGGTGCCCAGGCCCAGCACCACCACGTTGTGAGGATTCCTGGTTCGTCACCCCAGTTCCCAGGCCACTGGGTGTAGTGGGACCAGTTGTATGTGGAGGGAGTGCAGGGGCCAGTTGTGTCCACCAGTGCAGCACCATGCCCTGAGTAGTGTCCACCCTCGGGGACCCCGTCTAATATGTGGCATGTAAGATCTTCTGGCTTCAGGGCTGTTCGGAGGACGAGAGGAGGGGATGGGTTGTTTAGAGCTATGCACTATGAACTTGTACAGACAAAATTCCAGCCTGGATTTACTTTCTAGAACATTGGTATTCTGCCCATGACTCAGGCCTGGTCATCCAGAGCAACACACCCCTTTGGCCATACTGATTGTCTCCAGGATGTACGGTCCAGTCTAAGCTGGTCCAGACTTGGTAATTGTAGGGTTTTTGCTGGAGCTGGGGGAAAAAGTCTCATTCTTTCCTGCAAGACTGACGTGGGAGGATGGGTCATCTTGCCCCCTTGTTGGAAGAGCCACCTGCTGCTGGGGCCACCCAGTGGGGACTGAGAATGAGACTGAACAGCAGGGGGCAGAAGTGTACTTGGAGAGAAACAGACCTGATGAAAAGCCAGATTTGCTGCTTAACTCAGCAATCTCTCCAGCTAGCCAACTGCTTCCTGCCTAAGCTGCTTTGACAGTGTTTTCAGTCCTTTACAAAGTGAATGGATACACAGGTGGAAATGAGACAGGCAGTGTGGACAGTGTGTGGAGAGGGCTGATAACAGGGAAAACGGTGCTTAAGACATTAGGAGGTCGGGCCCAGAGTGACTACTCTCAGAAATTTCTCTCAAGCTTCTTTTCTTGTGAAAACTCTTTAGGAAAACCTGACATATTTGATTAGTTTCCTCTACTCAAAGATCTTCACTGCATGTCACCTGTAACCCAACCTTCCCTGCCCAGTTCTCCAAGAACAACTCTCCGCTGCAGTTGGGCTGGACTGCCTGCTGCCTTCCAGACAAACTAGCCCCCTCCTCCTCTTCTGCAGGCCTGTGATCCTGCTCTCCCCCCAGGTCCTCTCATCCTTCTTCCCATCCCAACCAGCCAGGCTCTCTCATCTCCTACAGAAAACATCTGATTTTTCCAACCCTACTTTAAACTCTGGTAATGCGTTCTCTGTATTATTCACTTAGCATTAGATAATGCCTGATGTTGGTCATTTTAGTTTTCTGGAAATATCCTTTCCCCACTGTTCCCTTTGAGAGCAAAAACTCTATGCAAAATGCTTCTCCAAATGCTCTAGAGTTTGGTGTTTTGTCTACAAATGCCACAAAATAAGTGCATGCTATTAAAAAAAAATCTGCTTGGGCATCTGTTACCTGTGGCCCAGCTCTAACTCCTTGTCCAAGACTTAGGTGTCTGTCCCATCCTCTGAAGTTCCAGCATCCCATCCACTTTGCAAACTACGGGGTGTCTCTCAAAGCACTCCTTGTTCACCTCTTTCAATAAGAGGCCCCAGGTGTCCTGCCCTCTCCCATCCCAGCCGCTGACGGGTCATAGTGTTACACGGATACTCCCACCACTGTTAAAGCATGGAGTCCTTCATTATATGGACCACATAGCCAGGCGGGCAGCCCAGGATGCTGTGGAGGAGTGGCCAGACACAGCAAGTACCCCACATCACAGTGATAGAAGCCAGAGGGTTTGGGGGGCCAGGAGTCCAGGGCAGCATGGGGGCCATGGGGACAAGGCTATAAAAAGGGCAAAACAACAGGCTAGATACTAAAAAGAGCTAATATTTTTTGAGTGTTTACTCTGTGCCAGGTGCAGTGCACTATAACCATCCTCTTGTGATCACTGGGGAAGTTGAGTGAAATGAGCTGGTAAATGTCACGTGAATGCTGGCTTCCAGACTCTCTAGGGAGAGGCTAATCCCAATTATGGATATAACCTTCTACCGGAAGCCTTCGCAGATTTACTCAACCAAGCTGCTCCTTCTCTTGACTACCATCTGGCTCTGGACCAGAGAAAGGCACCAAAGGAGAGCTTTGTCGGTCACATTCCTGGAGAAACAAATGTCTAATAAGAATGAAGACATGGTAAGGGGCTGAAAGCTGGAGTTCAGGTAGGAGGATACCAGTCATGACTTTCACTGTGCCTGTTTTCACAAAAGGCTCCAAATGGCTGCCATAGAGATATGAATACAACATACTATAATTAAAATAAAGATTAAAAGAGGGATTAGAAACCAGGTAGAAGGAAGTAATTTTACTAGAAATTTGGGAATTTTATCAGGACACTCACTGAAGCTGGACAGTACATTTGGCCCTAAGCTTGCTAGCAACACACAAACTGAGACAAAAGGATAATGACTGAAAATAACCAGATAGTCATGAATATGCTTTAAAAATTGTCAAAAGAACGAATAAATGGATGATGTATCAATTAGCTTTTATTGTATAACAAACCACCTCAAAATCTAGTGGCTTGAAACCACAGACATTATTTCTTAGAATTTTCTGATTCATTTGAACTGCCTTGGCTGGAGCTGAACGGTCTGGAATGGCCTCTCTCACGCATCCGGTGCCTCAGGTGGAATTGGTGGGATGACTGGGGCCTCTGTCCACACGTCTGTCCGTCTCCAATAGGCTAGCTGGGGCTTGTTCACACGGTAGCAGAAGCGTTCCCAGCACTAGAGCTGGAAGCTGCAAGGCCATGAGGTCTAGGCTCAGAAATTGCACAATATCCGTTACACCAAATTCTGTTGATCAGAGCACATCAGAAGGCTAGCCCAGATGTGGGGATGAGGAAATACCCTCTCCCTTTTGAGAAAAGATGCTGCAAAGAGTCTACGGCTTTTTTTTTCTCTTGCTGCAATCTGCCACGATGAGTGTGTGCGTGAATTGGTGATGCTAAAAGTTGCCCTTCTCCAGTACTAGGTGGGTCTTTTTGTTTATTTGTTTTGGGGGAGGAGGTAATTAGGTTTATTAACCCAGGGCATTGTGCATGCTAAGCACAAACTCTGCCACTGAGCCATACCCTCCCCCTCAATTAGGTGGATCTTAAATTCAATCCTTTAAGCCTACCATTCCCCAAAGCAGCTATCACACCACACCATTCCCCCTCACTTCCAGAAGGGGGCAGCACTTGGAAAAAGAAAGGACCATTGTCCCAGCTATTGCTGCTTCAAGCCATCTTACCAGAAAAATCCACGCTCACCTCCAGAAGAGGGGTGGTCCCTCCCCACCCCGACCAGACATTTTCTTTATATCCTTGCTGATTCCTCTTCATCAATTTCTATTCAGTGCTCTGCTCAGTCTGCCTCCCACCCTGCCGCCTCCACTGAAAGGGCTCTGGACGATGCTGCTCACTGATGTAATCACCAAATCCAGAGGACACTTAGTGCTCATTTTATTTGAACACCAGGAACACTTGACCTTCCTTCTTGAAACTTGCATGGCTCCTTGGCTTTCTGTTCCCCACTTAACCTCCCTGCCCACTCCTTTTGAGTCTCCTTTGTGGGCTTCTCTTTCTCCTCATGCACCATGAATAGTCTGAAAAAGTTTTTCGTTTTGGTTAAAAATTAAGTAGTTACAAGAAAAGTTTTAAAATAAAAGGTAACAGAGAACAGTAATGCAACAAACACCTGTGTGCTCACCACTCAGTTTAAGAAAAATATTTGTCATTACTTTGAAGTCTACTTTGTTTTTCTCAAATCCCATCTCTCTCCTGGCCCCTCAGAGGAAACCACTATCTTGAAAGGAGTGTTTATCATTTGGTTGAATTTTTTTGTAGTCTTACCATATAGATTTGCATTTATGCAGCATGATTGTTTTTGTATATTTTACACTTTACATAAGTGAAATCATAAGTATTCTTCTATACTTTTTTCACTCAGTATTATTATCCTGAGAATTACTCATTTATTGTAGGTAGCTGTAATTCATTCATTTTCACATGTGTAATATTCAGTTTTATGAATAACCACATAGTGTTGGGAAAACTGGATATCCACATGTAAAAGTGAAATTGGACCATTATACCATACACAAAAGTTAACATGGAACAGATTAAAGACTTAAATGTAAGACCTGAAACCAGAGACTCCTAGAAGAAAACAGGGAAAAAGCTCTTTGACATGCTCTTGGTTGATTTTTTGGATATGACATCAAAAGCAAAGGCAACAAAATAAAAAACAAGTGGGACTACCTCAAAGTAAAAGGTTCTTCACAGCAGAGGAAATAATCAACAAAATGAAAAGGTAACCTACAGAGTGGCAGCAAATATTTACAAACCATATATCTAATGATTGGTTAATATCTAAAAAATGTAAGAAACTTGTATAGCAAAGAAACAAATAACCCAATTTAAATATTGGTAAAGGACATGAATAGACATTTTTTCAAAGAAGATATGCAGATGGTCAGCAGGCATGTGAAAATGTGCTCAAGATCACTAGTTATCAGGCACATGCAAGTCAAAACCACAACGAAGCAACACTTCACACCTGTTAGGATTGTCGGACAAACAGGTGTTGGTGAGATTGTAGAGAAAAGGGAGCCTTTGCGTATGACTATTAGTGGGAATGTAAATTATATTATAGAAAACAGTGTGTAGTTTCCACAAAAAATTAAAAACAGAGCTACCATATTATCCTGGTCCCACTTCTGGGTATCCAAACGAAATGAAGTCAGTAGGTCAGAGAGGCAGCTACACTCCCATGTTCATTGTAGCATCATCCACAATAGCCAAGATATGGAAACAACCTAAATGTTCATTAACAGGTGAATGGATAAAGAAAATGTGAGATGTGTGTGTGTGTGTGTATACAGAAGATTTTTCTCTTTCTCTTTTGTTGTCATTAGTTTAAAAATTATGTGTTTAGCATGTGTGTGTGTTCTCTTGGAATTTTCTGAACTTCTTGGAGCTGTGGGTTGATATTTTAAAAATTGTTTTTGGAAAATTTTTAGCCGTTATCTCTTCAAGTATTTCCTCTGCATTCTTCTCTCTCTTTTCCTTCTGGGATTCCAGTTACCAGTATGTTAGACCTTTGGATGTTGACGAACAGCTCTCGCATGCTCTGTTCTTTCTCTCTTGTATTTCAGTTTGGGTACTTTTATTGCCCTATCTTCAAATTCCCTGGGAATACTCTGTGAAATCTACTGTAGTCCCTTGTTTTCTTCAGATTCTCAAAAAAACCCAACTACTTTGTTGGACTAGATCGGCTGCACTTACATCTGAGCATTCCCAACCCAGGGCAAGAGGAAGATCAGTAGGTATGTGCCATTTCCAGACCCTGGACATCACCAGGGACCTTTGCCTACAGATCAGGACCCAAAACAGATCCGCACTGTGGGTAACAGGCCTGCCCTCTTGGTGGTCTCTGGTCACAAGGATGGCTGTCATGTAGCCTCCCAGGGCACAGCTGGCTTGGGTAGGACCCCTCAGGTGGTAGGGAGAGGTCTAGGGGCTCATGGAGGCCGAAAAATCCCATCTCCTAAGGTTGGAGGCTAATACAGAAGACAGGTCAGGTCCAAGAGCTAGAGGAGAAAGTCCAAGAGGGAGCTCTGTGTCCTGCCTGCACATACTGAGAACATGAGGGCAATGGCTTGAGGCTCTCAGGAGGAGGCTGCCTGGACAGGGTTGAGGGGCAGTTTGCGGTGTAGCCCTGTCCCTGAGCGCTGACTGATGTGGATTGTTTTAGAGAAGTGGCCTTATTGGAGGGACACAGGGAGGAGAAATAGGATGGTGAGTTCCTGTCCTTTCTGCTGCAGCTCCTCCGTTAAAACTGGAGACTGAAAACATGGAAGCTACTCTCAGGTCCTCTGGGCGGTGCTCAGGCCTTGGACACCAGAGGAAATGCCACCCTGGGGAGGTTTGAGGAGGACAGCTGGCAAGAGTCGGGAGAGGGAGGAAAGAGGGCGGGGCTGCAAGAAGGAAAAGTGTGGAAATGGAAGGAAAGGATGGAGAAAGGAAAGAGGTGGTTGGTGAGGAGGGAGAGAGGTCAGGAAAGGAAGAGGAGCTGGGGCCAGAGGGGAGGGGACCAGGCTGCTCTGAGAAAGGACAGAGGGCAGAGGAGCTGGAGGCAGAGGATCCTGGTGGCCTTCCCCACGTCACAGGGGAAAGGACAGATTAGAGGGAGAGCAAGAAAGAGGAAAAAACATGGAAAAGATATGTGAGTTTGAGAAGGAGGATATTCAAGGTGGAGAGAAACCAGGATGAATGGCGCGAAAAGTTTAGAAATGGGGACAAAAGGAGGAAAGAGGGTGCCAGAGAAAGACAAAGGGAGTCATTCTGGGAAAGAATAAGACAAAGGGCTGGTCAACTGTCCTAGATTTTTTAAGAGATGGAGCCTCAAGAAATGAAGAGCCTGACCTGTTAGGGGACGTGTGAGGATCTGGACTGGAGAGAAAGGTCCTGTTTCCCAAACCAGTGACCTTCACCCCCCTACCCCTAGGACACTCACTCACCTGGCTGGGGTTCTGGCCTTAGTCTGCAGACCTGTAGGGGGACCAATAGCTTGTCAGTGTGCCATCCA